GTTTGCTTGTTTCTTAATGCAGTGTTTCAATAGACATAGGAAAGTTGTATTTATAACTTATTCTAAATACAATAAGTTTCCAACTGTAATATTTATTGCTTATCTAATATTGGCCGGTGTAAAGCTTTATAACTATGTAAAGCTAACTTCAAAAGGTAATGATAACGTCATTTACACTAAAATTATGATTTTTTAAATTACTACTGGTTATTGATAATACTTATAAAAGCGGATACTCCGTTTGAAACTATGTCACCTCAGTGAAATTGGTTGACACCATTATTTTGGTTTTTGAGTTATCACGTAATAAAAAAGAACAAGAACAAGAAATTCAAACTTTTTGATGTGATATTTATCTTGATGAACCCATAATCTGTTATCCTCATTTCCAGATCAAGATCCTTCTTGATTATGTTGCACAGTGCTGCCTTGGGCATGTAGGCAGTTTTCGTCACCATCCTTTATATTTATGGTTTCTCACCTGTTACAAAACGCCACACTTTGCTTACCAATACTGGAGAGTGATTTGTTGAAGGTCTGTTTGTGACTTGTCCTGGTGTCCCAAGCTGATTCATATTCCTACACTTTTATGGCCTGAGTGTATAAATATTTTGTGCCGAAAAGGGCTATTACATACCTTCTCAAAAGTGTTAAGTTTTCGATGACATTACATTACCTACGAAACGTCAAACATATTCCGTTACACCACGACTTTATATTGGGTGTTTCTGTACGTGACTTGCAGGGTCAAATTTTTTGATTATGTGTTTTTAGAAAATGTGTACATTGGTCTTCTAGATCAGTAACTAAAATATTACTCAAGGTGATAAAATCAATCAGCCTTTTTGTGAAATAGGTAAACATTTATGCTCAGTAATTATATTAATTTTAATCGTAAAGTTATATATTAGTTTATTCAAAACGTGTAGAGTTTTACATGAATGACTCATTCTAATCAATGCTCATTATAGAGAAACCTAATATTGCTTTTCTTGAAAAGATATTGCTCCTCTAGAGTCAATAGTTATAACAATGTCAATAGTACAACATTATCATGAACCACTATAGTGGTTCATAATAGGGATCGCACAGAACTTTGCCCAAAACTCTAATGGAACATTCGAGCAAAAACCACCTTAAAAGGCAGACTTGTTCTTTACACACCAAACAAAATTTTCCTTTTCAAAAGTTAAGACCACCCAAACATTGATAATAAAGAAAATAAGTGATTTTACTTTGTTAAACAAAATCAAAATTTGCCCATTTGTTATTATTATTCATATTATCGTTTCACAAGGCTAAGAAAAATCCGTTGGGTATCTTGCACCAACTTCTAGACAGATATAGTAAATGGAATACTGCGAATGTGCATGATCTATTCAAAAGTTGATTATTTTTCAGTGAAAGTGACTTACGTGATTATAAATAAATAATCGATGCGATGTTATTCTGAGCGGTTATTTTTGTACTCGATGCGTGTTAAACGCGTTTACAAGAAACCTCAGGCACAAAGCCACCTGGCTTAGTAATAATTACATTAAAAGACACGAAGCTTTATTTAAAACTATGTTTTAGACGTATCTATGTTACTTGAAAATGCTGCTTTTCTACTAGTAAAATTTTATACGTGCTTAGTAGAGGTTGTGTCTTACACTAGGCATATATTTGGCCATTGCTGTGCATTAAAAAAGCCAACATACAAGATAATTAAAAATTGATACTTAAAACCTACAAATAGGGATCGCATGTATACAGTAGTTATCAATTTTAGCGGAGTCAAAATAGGAATTTATGGCTTGAGAAAATAATGTGGACACTATATTTCCATCCTTGTTTGTTTACTTTTTTTTTATCTTTGCATTTTGATTCAACTTGTTTCTGGACTTTTTTTGACGATCCCCATTACGTCTTTGTAAATTAACAGTTTTTACTAATCTTGTATCAATCCATTTCTATTTCCCTGCTAAATCTTTCAATATTTTATCTCTTATGGGCTTATATTAGTGAGATATTGGATTATCATTCCTCTAGATATTACATACTTTTAAAGAAATATTATGGGAGAAGCTAAACGAAAACTCCAAGAAGTTCATTTAAGAATGTAAGAGGTTAGTTTATAATTAATTACTTATGTTTTGTCAGCAGTTTAGGAATTTGACATTTATTCCTTTTTTAAACAGAATCAAACAGATATCTTTAGTTACCATATTCCAGATGTCAAAGTGTAAGTACAATAAATCTAAAGAAAATGTTACGAACCATTTCCTCTTAAGTTCTGCTTAAAATGTGTGGGTATTCACTATAAGACATTTTAACTGCTATATCTAAGGTTTGTGTAAATAGCTGATTTTGTAGGCGTGGGGCTGTGCCCAAGTTAAGCGGAGAGACAATTCCGAGGAGTCCTAAAATTAATGTTATCTTAAGGAGAAACGGCATTTTATATTAGAAATAAATGTTGTTTTTATTTTAGTGTTATAAGGTCGTTTATTTCTAGTACTAATATGTTTTCTATGCACCAAAATGCACTATAAAAATAAATAATGAGAAACGGCTTTATTATAGTAATATAATAATATATGTTAATCAGACTTAATTTCGTTTAAAGGACAATAATATATATATATTTATACTAGCAGAGACCCGCAAAACATTTACGGTCAAATTAGTATTTTTATTACAACAGTACTTATTTAAGTACACGATTTCTAGAATAATAGTTAATACAAAAGAATTCTAATTGCAGACTCTGAAATAGTTAAGTCCACATGTCTTAGGCCTAACATTAGTTAAGCCTATATTCGATAAAGGGATAAATTAACACTGTAACTTGTTTAGGTTTTTTGCTTTAGTTTAGTTACTAACCTTTACCGTACTTAATGCTATCAATAAATAGGCTTATAATGTTATTTTACCTTTTTAAAAACTGTGATAAGCTTTTAATATATCGTTGTACAAAATGTCTAATAAAATATATTTATATCTGCGTTTTGTTCACATCTGTTGAAATGAAGTGCGTGCGCATGCGCATTTAGATAATAAGGTGTGTGCGCATTTTCAGGACAGACAAAAGTGGGTGTTATTGTAATAGAGGTATAGTACTATACCAAACAAACAACGAGGTATTTAATATTAATTTAAACGAAACCGTACTTTAGCGTAAGGTGGCAAAATACTAGATCTGCCATCTCTCGTCCAATCCCGATTTGCATTATTATTATTATATTTATTACCGGCTCCCCAGTGGTATGTCTGTGGACTTACAACGCTAAAAACCAGGTTTCGATACTCGTGGTGGGAAGAGCACTGATATCCCTTTGTGCAATTTTTTGTTTAACTACGAACAAACGGGGGGGGGGGGAGGTAGGGCAGTAGTTTTGTTTCTATTATGCAACTATCTATGTATTTTAAATAGTTGATAAAAAAGCTAAGTAACTTCTGACGTGTTAAGAACTATCTTTTAATGGAACTGACATAGAGAAGATAATTTTAGTTTTGACAGATCTCAAAGACCTTTGATAAAATACAGTTAGGAACATTATAAATGTATCTGTTATGGAACTAGCTAGCCAGTTAGATGGATGCAAAACTTATAATATTGCACTGTAGATGGCAAGCAATGCTTACTCCATTTAGGTATTGTTGTAATTGAAGGTACAGAGAAAAACGTTTAGCAATGCTTACTCCATTTAGGTATTGTTGTAATTGAAGGTACAGAGAAAAACGTTTAACAATGCTTACTCCATTTAGGTATTGTTGTAATTGAAGGTACAGAGAAAAACGTTTAGCAATGCTTACTCCATTTTTTAAACGTTTTTCTCTGTACCTTCAATTACAACAATACCTACGTACAAGAAAATAACTGCAAATAGCGTGTATGGTGATGAATCAACATTATAACAGCAATCTAAATCCTAACGAATGATTTAATGTTCGTAAAGTATAATTATTATTATTTTATTTTTTTTTTGCAGCTAGGAAAATACTTTGAGGAAATAAAAATGTTCCTACAAATTTTTAACAGCAAACGAAGGAACTAGAGTCAAAGTAAAAGCAACCAATATGTAACGTTTTTTAACGATAATCTGACGAATTAAGACACCTAGTACTCGACATTAAAAACATAAAATATTGTCTATAACGGCAAATTTCTTCACCTAATTGTCATGGGTAAAGGGACGAGAATGAATACGACAGTTTACACTGTTTATTTGTTACTCATTTTTTTATCCTATTCTTGTGATATATATTAAGCCATTTTAGAAGCGATTGATTTAAAAAAATGTATATAGTGTTCTTACACTAATGGGCCCGGCATGGCCAGGTGGATAAGGCGCTCGACTTACAATCTGAGGGTCGC